TTCCTCTTTCCATCACCTCTGTGCCATTAAGGCAGTGTTCAGTTCTTTTTTCCCTCTTTCCATTACCACTGTGCCATTAAGGTAGAGTTCATTTTTTTCCTCCATTTGAAGCAAGATATGGGACGGAGAGAACCCCCCCTGCCTTTGTGTTGGTCACTGTTTGATCGGAATCTCAGAAATTCTTTACAGACTCCTAGATGGATGTGTTAGGTACAATAGTCTACAGTGTGTATAGGGATTGGGCAGGTAAGGGGGGTACCGCTCCGTCCCATATCTTGCCTGGTATATTTTTCTCTTTCCATTCCCATTGTGCCATTAAGGTAGTGTTCAGTCCTTTTTTTCCTCTTTCCATTACCATTGTGCAATTAAGGCAATGTTCAATTCTTTTTTACCTTTAATCTTTCCATTACCATAGTTTGGTGTAGTAGGCTTCATGGAATCTTAATGGCGCCCTCTATGGTTTGTCAGCATTTTATAGAGGAACCTCTGATGGAGCAAACACAACGGAAATTCCTCTTGCCAGGATTACTAGGAGAAACCAATCAATGTCATCAAGTTCTGTCAATTTTATTCCAGTGTTAACCCTGAAGTTGCTGGATTATTTGTACCATCTCACAGCCGAGATCTTGGGCGTCCAAGCCGGATCTTTTTCAACACTCGGCGTGCATGTAAAACACGCCATATTAATACAGATGTGGAATTTCAAATAAATCTGACATACACCCCCCCCACCAGTTAGGTGCTGTTCCACCACGGCTCACCGGCTCCACTGGGTGCGTGGAGAGTAGAGTTCTGCTCAAAGAGTGGGCAAAAAAACACCCGCACCAGGCAACATCAGAAGAAAGAGACAACCAATGAAGACCCTGTGTCTTCGCTTTGCCAGTTGGAATGTCAGGACCATGTGCCCTGGCCTCTCCTCTGACTTTCAACAAGTCGATGATACTATGAAGACCATCATCATCGACAGCGAGCTTTCCTGGCTTCGCGTGGGCATCGCCTGCCTGCAGGAGACGTGGCTCGCTGGCAGCGGCACACTCAGGGAAGAGAGCTATACCTTCTTCTGGCAGGGCAAGCTCCCTGAGGAGACCCGCCAGCATGGTGTTGGCTTTGTCATGAAGAACACGCTCACGGCCTCCATGGAGCCACCCTCAGCAGGCATGGAAAGGATTCTACCCCTCTGGCTGTCCACGTCCTCCGGCCCAGCGACCATCCTCAGCGTGTATGCGCCAACACTCTCTGCAGCACCTGAGGACAAGGACCGATTCTACGAGGCCTTGGACCAAGTGCTATCTGGGATCCCCAGGACAGATGCCCAGCTACCTTCTTGGAGATTTCAATGCCAGAGTGGGAGCCGACTGAGAAACCTGTCCCTCCTGCCTTGGTGCCTATGGATGCGGGAAGATGAATGACAACGGCCAGTGCCTGCTGGAGCTTTGCTGTTTCCACGGCCTGTGCATTACCAATACCTTCTTCCCGTGTAAGGAGATCCACCAAGTCTCCTGGAGACATCCGCGATCACGTCACTGGCACCAACTCGACCTGGTCCTGACCAGGCGCAGGGACCTAGCGAGTGTCCTTCTCACTCGCACCTATCACAGCACTGACTGCGACACGGACCACTCCCTTGTTGCCAGCAAGGTGCACGTCGCCCCATGCAAGATGCACCATGCAAAGAAGAAAAGGACGGCCACACATCAACACCTGTCGCGCTGGGAACCCCATCAGGACACGACAGTTTCTGAAACGTCTGGACAAGACCCTCACCACGAAGACGTCTGCCGACCACACCACCGACTCCAGGTGGGCCCACCTACGGGAGTCAGTGTACAGCACAGCTATTGTAGCCTATGGGAAGAAGGAGAGCAAGAACGCTGACTGGTCCGAGGCCCACTGGGAGGAGATGGAGCCTGTGACTGAGGCGAAGCGGCAAGCCCTGCTTGCCTTCAAGGCCGCCCCTAGCGCAGCATGCTCGCTGCACTCAGGGCTGCCAGGAAAATGTCCCAGCAGACTGTCCGCCGCTGCCCAAGCACCTACTACCTGAACCTCTGCAGCAGTATCCAGTCAGCTGCAAACAGGGGAGACGCGAGAGGCATGTATTTGAGGAGATCAAGAAAGCAACAGGCCCAGCCCCCAGCAAGTCTGCCCCCCTTTAAGTCGAAGACAGGCGACGTGATCACCGAACAGGGCAAGCAGCTTGAACTCTGGGTGGAGCACTACCTCGAGCTTTACGCTATGCAGAATGTCGTCACTAATGACGCCCTGGCCCCCACCCCCGACCTGCCAGTGATGGAAGAGCTTGACGACCAACCCACAGAGGAGGAGCTCAGCAAAGCCATCAACTGCCTCGCTAGTGGGAAGGCCCCAGGGAGCGACGGCATTCCAGCAGAGGTACTGAAGAGTGGGAAGCCTGCGCTACTTGTGCCCCTACACGAGTTGATCTGCCGATCCTGGGAGGAAGGCCACATCCCTCAGGACATGCGCAACGCTAATATCGTCACCTTGTATAAGAACAAGGGCGACAGAAGCGATTGCAACAGTTACCAAGGGATCTCCCTCCTCAGTACCACTGGGCGATTAGTGAATTTTGCTAATCGATTAATCACACACAAACTAATCACGACTAATCAATTAATCACGAGTAGTGGCAAAAATTCCGAAACGTGGTGTCAACACGTGAATATGGTGCTTTCATCAGTTTCATCGCAGTAATTCACAGCACACTATGCAGCAGCAAGTGCCAGGGCAAGTTTGTTTTTTGTGTTTCTGCTTTTATGTTATTTCATTAATTTTGAAATCTGGAAAGCCAGTGGCAGTATTCTTTGTAGCTGCTATAAAATTATCACAATTACATACGGGTTAAGCTGGAAAGATTGCGGCTTGAGCTCCAGTTGCATCCGAGTACATACGACAACTACATGTGACTAAGGGCCATTTCTCAACTTCGTCTCTGTCTGAGGCTTCGTCTAAAAAACCAATCCCTTATTGTGGGCCTTAAGCATTTTATTTCATTTGAAGTACTGTAATGTTTGGCTTTTTTGCATCGACCTTGATATTTCGTGGCACTGCCAGACTTACTATCGCGTTACCAACTTCAAAGTCAGGTAAAAAAAACCATTTGAGGCCTGCAACGGAGCTGCAGTCAAGAATTGGAAAACTACACACTCCGCCAAAAATAGGATGCCTGGCCGCCCATTCCATTCTGAACGTGTGAAGGACAATTTTAAAAAATCTTTGTTGTGGAGGCTCTAATACAGATTGCAGATTTCTTTAGTTTCAAAATGAAAAAGCTGCTAACTTGTCTACTAACTGTTTGAATAGAATAGTTCTTGCTTTTAAACGTGGGAAAAATTCTGATTACTCAGTTACTTTTATTCCAATTTCTCACATTAAGAAGCTCTAAATAACATCCCTAAACTTCTCAATGGTATAGCCCACAGACATTGTTGTTCAGCCTTCATTCATTGTTTGAGCATGTGAGACAATATGAATAATTCATCACAAACCCTAGTTTACTTCCTTTCAACATGACACAGAAGCCTTGGATACTTGCAGTTGGTAACTCTTGCTACATTTTTGGACTAATGTTAATAGTAGGAAAGGCTAAAGTTCGTTGAACTGAACTGCCACCAGCCCAGTCGACTACAAGTCTGTCAGTGGAGACTGCCGAAATAAAGCAGGTGTGCCCTGGATCATGATCATGTACAGTGTGGTAGTGTGTGTAACTTAATCGGTACTCCATAACAATCACTACTTGCATTTTTCTACAGTAACTACATGTAATCGTGCTGGCGTGATTAATCAATTAGTTACAAATCCACGATTAGTGAAACAAGTAGGAGAAACTAATCACGATTAATCAATTAATCGAGATAATTGCCCAGCAGTACTCCTCAGCATCGTGGGAAAGGTCTTTGCACGAGTTGCCCTTGTCCACTTGCAGACCCTCCCCTCCCGCGTCTACCCAGAGTCCCAGTGTGGGTTTCGTGCTGGCTGATCGACGGTGGACATGGCTTTCTCGCTGCGTCAACTTCAAGAAAGTGCCAGGAGCAGCGGATGCCTCTCTACCTTGCCTTCATAGATCTTATGAAAGCATTTGACCTGGTCAGCAGGAGCAGAATCTTCAAGATCCTCCAGAAGATCGGCTGCCCCCTATATACACCTGCTTTCTGTTGTCACTTCCTTCCACAACAATATGCACAGCACAGTGTGTTTCAATTGCGCCACCTCGGAGGCCTTCCCTGTCAGCAGCGGTGTAAAGCAGGGCTGCGTCCTTGCGCCGAAGCTTTTTGGTATCTTCTTCTCCGTGCTCCTCCAGTACGCCTTCAAGGACTGCAGCGAAGGGGTGTACATCTACACCAAGGCGGACGGTAAGCTCTTTAACATCGCCTGTCTCCGTGCCAAGACCAAGGTGACCCAGGTGATCGTCCGCGAATTTCTTTTCACGGATGACGCAGCCCTCGGGTCTCACACGCAAGAAGGCCTCCAGCAGCTTGTCGACCGCCTCTCCCTTGCCTGCAAGGAGTTCGGATTGACCATCAGTCAGAAGAAGACCAACGTCGCAGGGTATGGACCAGCCCCCTACAATCACCATCGACAGCCACGTGCTGGAAGCTGTGGACGACTTCACCTATCTTGGGATGACCATCTAAAGCTCGCTCACCCTGGAGGCAGAGATTAGCAGCAGGATTGCAAAGGCCACTGCAGCCATGTCCAAGCTACACCAGAGAGTCTGGTACAGCTCCAGCCTCACGGAGAAGACAAAGCTGCGTGTCTACCAGGCCCGTGTATTCAGTACCCTCCTCTATGGCAGCGAGGCATGGACCCCCAATGCAAGTTTCCACCTTAGGTGCCTGCAACGCATTCTTCACATCCGTGGGCAGGATAAGGTTCTGGACGTGAAGGTGCTGCAGCGTGCTGGCATGATGAGCATGGTCGCCATACTGCGAGAGAGACGCTACGTTGGCTTGGCCACGTACGAAGAATGGACGCTGGCCGCATCACTAAGGACCTCTTGTATGGCGAGCTGGCTGAGGGAGCACGACCAATCGGACGCCCTCACCCAAGCTTTAAAGATGTCTGTAAGAGAGACCTGAAGAAGTGCGGCATTGATGTTGCCACGTGGGACAACCTTGCTGAGGACCGCACGTTCGGGCGTGCAACTGTGAAGAGCGGTGTGTGGATGGGTGAGGAGTCTACAAACACAGCCATCGCCGCCAAAAGATCAAGGCGGAAAGAAAAACAGCGCCTGCAACAGAAACGTAGCTCTTTCATCTGTGCAAACTGCCAACAGGACTGCCACTTGTGGCTTGAGCTGTACAGTCACTACCGCAGGTGCAGATGAGCAGAAATTGGAACTACTCCATCGTCTCATGAAGACGAAAGGATGCCGACGACGACTGTCAAAGTGACTGTAAAAAGCTGCTATCTGAAACTAAACACCTTGGCTCATAAAAAAATAGAAAAGTATGGCTGATCTCTTTCATGTGGCCAAGTGATTAGGTTCTATGGTTTCCAATCATAGGGCTGAAGGTTCAAATCCAGCTGCTGGCAGTATGTTGTAGCCCTTGGCAAGCCACGTACTTCACCTCTGCTTGCCTCTCTAACCCAGAAGTATAAATGGGTACCAGCATTAGCTGGGAAGCAACCTGCGATGGCCTGGCATTCCATCCTGGGGGGAGAAGAAATATTCTCAGTCATTTCATGCCAAGGAAACCACAATAAACACCAGCCTGATAAGCCACATTGGCTCGTACCAGACTTGCTGGTGCTTCTAACAAGAAAGATACATGCATGTGTCTATGACATCAATCTATGGCCTTAACGTACATCATCTTCACTACTTGAAAAGACAACTTACAGTCACTGCAGAAGACAGACTTCTCTTGGATGGACAGCACATGTTTCTTCCACTCTCACTACCAACTCTGCTTCTATCCACTTGCCAAAAAGTGCCCTGACAAAAAAGAAAAAGTTAACTCAGTGGGCTGGAGAAATAGAAAGGCCTCATTTCCGTCGACCAATATGAATGATTCCAAAGCCATTTTCATGATTAAAACAACCACAATGTATAACCCTAACTGTACAAGGTTGTTTGGCTAGAACCCTGCCAGATACATCAGTCTGCATCAGTTGTCTAAGTAATTTGCTTGCTCAGTGTAACAAGATCCTACAGGTCAACTCTCCCCAAGGCCAAACAGCCTGGGAGTCAAGTAGTTGCCAGCCACCACAAGATCCAACAGTATTGTGCATATGAGACCAGCTCCCATTGTCTCAACATGACCACTTTGGCTGCTCTTGATTGCCCAGTCTATCAAAAGGTGTGTTCTCATTGGACTTTTTTTGGTTAACTTACTGCTTTTTTTGGTTAACTTACTTCTTGAACTTCATATGACCATCATAACAAAACAATATGTCGGATTGAGTGTGCACCTAATTTTTATAAATTGAAACACGGGACGGCCAAGTCACAGTGCCAGCTGTGACAAGTCACATGGTCCAAAATAACCTCTTTTTTTAATCATTCACCAGCACAGTGTGTCAAACAGAACTTCTAAGAATACATGTACACTCAGACTTCAATCACCGACACTTGCAGACAGGACTCGAGCAGAAAACCACACTCCAGTCATATGGAACAATACATGACATGTAAGTTGACTTGTCTCTGCTGATCTGCTTCACTGAGTATCATGACCACACTACATGTACTGTATGAGGCCAAAATGCAAGAAAGGGATTTCTAAAATCTACGGTCATTTGCAAAAGTTTAAGACCACCTGGAATTTTATTGGCATTTCTGTCACTGGGCCTGCATTACATTGTGTCATTGAATAGTGTATAGCATCACTGTAGTAGTGCTATCTGTATATCCATTTGAATGAAATTCTATGCAAAGGCAGGTCTTGTATGATATTTTGTCTGTAAGGGAACATGGGTAGTAAGAAAAGAATCAGAAACGAGAGCTTATCTGTCTGTTTGCCAACAGAACAGTGGGCTTTTTCGCACTCTATTGTACATTTGAGACTCTTGTCGCATAACCCCTGATGATGTGCCCCAGAACCCTCTTCACGTGGTGGACTGAGAGTGTGCACAAATATGAAATTAGTTAAGATTGGCCCCGAGTCCCCAATAAGTCTAGCTGTTGAAAAACCGCTATACAATGCTTATGGGGAAAAATTGGATATTCAAAAAATCAATTAAAATTAAGATAATGATGTCATCATCACATCATGAATTTGGAAAAATTCTTTTTTCCTGGACTTTGTTCGCTAAGTTACCAAAAATGATGGCTTGTGTACAGAGTCAATGGGCTGAAATAAATGTTGAGAAATCAATCCTAAATCAAACGACGTCATCATGATGTACATCAATTTGGCATTTATTTTGCATCAGGGTCTTTATTGGCAGTAACTTTGATGACGATTGAACATCGTCAAGTTACTGAAATCGTGGCTTCAAGACATGTACAAAATCAGTGGCTGAAATAAATGTTGAAAAATCACTAATAAATCAGATTATTGATGTCATCATGACGTCATCCATCTGAAACAATTCTTGTATCAGTATTTTTGTTGGCTATCACTTTGATAACGATCAACCGTCGCAAAGTCACCAAAATGTGGCTTCAAAACATGTACGAAGTTAAGGAGGTAAAAATACCTGTGCTAAAAAACTGCTCCTTTAAGTTCACGTCACTTGATTTGCATTTAAACTGAAGAAATTTTATGAAATATTATTTGATATTTTGACTTGAACAGAAGGGAAAATTTAGTCTGATTTCTCTTTTGTTCTGGTAGTAATTCTTGGTTGAAGTTGTGGACTATTCACTCATTAAGATTGATAATAGTGTGTAATAGAAATACGTGTACAAAACCTATGGTGAAAAACTACAGCTTCAATCTCATGTCACATGACCCCTGACAATGTCATTTAGACAATTTTGTCCTGGAATCTTCTCTTCGTGGTTGATTACAAATGTGGATAAACATGGAATCATCAGTCTGATTGACCAGAGTGCCAAAGACTGGCTGTTGAAAGATGATGTTTCTCGACCCCTAGTGATCTTATCCTAACATTTCTAGAATTCTCATCTATAACACATCCCCGGCTCATACATGTATGCATACGCAAATTAATTTACATAAACCCTAGGGGGTTAGGGTTAAATCAGACTCATAATTCTTACAACATGAAGTTGTGTCCCTTTAAGATGATGTCATGTGGCGTTTTAACTTTACTAATCACGTAAAATACGTCTCCATCCTCAAACATGTAAAAAATGGATTGAATAGGACTCAAACATCCTGCAGTTATTAAACATCAAAATTATCAACAGTAAGATTACGCCTCTTGACCTGTGATCAATGTCCTTGTGACTGTTTTATAAGTATTTAAGTTTAATGATACATGACCTAATGAGGTCATCATGATATCACTTGACAATCATCCAACTTAACAGTTGTATCAACTTTATGAATTTCATGGTGATTGTTTCATGTTTAAACAATCTTCTTTGCTCAGAATGTTTAGAAAAAAAGGCTAAATGTGACAAATTTTTCATCGTGACACTAACCAAAATTTCATACAACACAGTGCTCATTGGGTCCATTAGAAGATTTTTTTTCTGTAGATACCGAACAGTATATGTTACATATACCACAGACAACGCCTCATCTTATCACTGTTCTCAAAGAATTAACAAAATACTTATCCCTTTAGGAGATTTGCCAAAGATGTAGCTAAAATAAGAACAGTTGCCTTCAGAAAACTAATTACTCCCTCTCCTTATGGCCTAGATATGGCACTAAATACCACGCTGATTCAAGGGGTATATAGGTTACCAATGCCCTGTTCAACAGTGACTGACATTGAATTATTAAGCTCAATTTGCAGGATAGTGAAAAATATACATCTGAAAATTATGTGAGTGCCATACCATACAACCCCCCTGTTCTTTGTTGGTAAGCCTATGGAGGGGTGACTGTTGACACTCTGCATTTCTAGTCATCACTTGCATTTACAGTTCATTCCTCAACAAGTTCTGTCGATAAGAAAACAAAAGAAAGAAAAGTAGCAGTGCAAGAACATCCCCATTTTTATATATACGTGGCAAATATATTCCAGACACTGCAGAACAAAGGCCAAATTAGGACGCAAAATATCACTCATTCGAAACCACACATACACGGCCATGGTGCAATTCAAGTAACACTTGTTGTTTGGGCATCACCCACCTTACCTTACAATTTCTGTCTGTTAAATAAGCAGATGTACTCAACAGAAAATGCACATAACTTCTTTCAGTCACTTTATTAATCTTTTGGTTATTTGTGTGAAGAAGACATGATCAAGTTACATATCAAAAAGAAGTAAATTTGGATATTTGAGGAAAACATGGCTGTAAGTTTGTTTCAAGAGAGCACTCCATATTGATCAAGCTCTTCCTAAATTGAATAGAAATTTGAGCATAGTCCCTTCTGAGCCTTGAAAAGGAAGCCCTCGAGTAAGTGCAAATTCACATGATGGAGCTTTCAGTTAACAAACATGACACTGTCACAGTTTGGAAACTAACTTCAATGAAATTTGGCCACAGGGACTATCAAGAAACATTTCTAAGAACATTCGGTGAGGAATTTTAAACATTCCTGAAATTCAAAGATGGAGACTCCTCCCCCACAGAAATGTTGCGAGGTCTGCTATTGAATACCTACCCCAAACAGTCTCAAGAAAATCTCACTTTCTGTTGGTTGCAGTTTTTCAAATAATCTTGCTATGAGTACTTTGATGAAGCTGTTCTCACCCGTCTCTCAATACTGGGGACATCCAACATGTATTGAAGACCGCCCTCATGTCTGTGCTGATGAACATCTCTATCATCACAAAAGGAAAACATTTATTACAGGTGCAGCAGTTCATGTGTTGATGCAAGGGAAAACTTGTGTCAGAACTTGAACACAAATTCATCGTATGTGTGCACATGTACTTATTCATTGGTATAGCAACCTTGGGTATAAATGGAGATTATTACGTGGGGACCTGAATTGTTAAAGT